TTTAATCTTAAATGGTTTCCTTTCCATTGAGGTTTTTCTCTGTCTTATTTTGTCCTTGTTAAATTTTTGGCTTTATTTTGTGTCTTGATTTTCAACTGTATGTCTCTTCAGTGTATGAAATCCAGAAGAGGTAAATCTATAGAGTCAGTAATTGGATCAGTAATTACCTATGGGCACAGCCCAGGAGGTTGGAGGTAAAGGAGGGGCCAATGATAATGAACATAAGAAAAAAGAAAATGCTCTACAATTGATTGTGGTGATGATTGCTCAACTCTTCTTAATATGATTGAACTATTGAATTCTATGGTATGTCCATTATATGCCAATAAAAATAATGAATAATATATATTTTTAACATTAACACTCATAATGGGCCACACTCCCCTGATTGTCATAGAAAGTCAGTGTTGAGTGAATTCATTTATTAAGCCTTCTAGTAATAAAGCAATAAGGACATTTAGGCCTGGAGAGTTAGTTAAATGACCAATCCAAGGTCACACAATTAACTAGTCACAAAGATAAAACTAGAATTGAGGCATGTGGTAAACCTGGCCTTAGGCTGACAGGATACAGGTAACTGAGCAAATCCCCTAAAGTGTTCCTTCAGCTGAATGTCTGGCATCATCCTGAAGCCTCAAAGTCAAATGAACAAAACAGAATTTGATTCTTCCATGATGCAGCAAGAGCCGATAGATGCGTTCTAAATGTACTCAGACTCGCAGAGGTAGAGTGCCCTTTTGTTTGGGAAAGGAGGATTTAGGAGAGCTGCAAGGGAACAGGTACCCCTTGGACTGAAGAGAGACAAATATTCAGAATTAGCAATCAGGACACTTCATGTTCTCTGCCTGAACATTCTAGGAGTATGACTTTGACCCATTTTGTAGCAATTTGGAAATGAGATTCTATTGCTTTAGGAAAAGAGAAAGAAGGGGGAAACAAACTTGAAAGTAAATTCTCTGGAAGTGCCACAGCTCCATTTCTTAAGATAATGTGTTAGAAAAACAACAATAACAACAGTAGTGGGTGTGCTTTCAGAAGCCCTGGTGCCCTGCGGGTTAGACTCTGGGTGCTAACCACAAGGTCAGTGATTCAAACCCACCAGATGAGGTGGGCGGCTCCCCTCCAGAGGCCTAGTCTTGGGCACCCTGACAAGGTCATCACGAGTGTGAATGGCCTCAATGGCAGTGGGTTGGCTTTGACTTTGGTGAATACGTCTCAACACTGCAGATGAGCAAATCAACAGCAGGGAAATACTTTCCCACAGTCAACATTTTTGGCTCACGTGCAATTAGTAAACAGTCCGAGGAACTTGGGGGCATGCTGGCTTCGGCAGCACATATACTAGAATTACTTGGGGGCACTTATCCTCAAATAAATTAGATTGCACTAATTTATTCTTCATATTTGTTCAACAGCCCACTAAGAGCTTTTGTGGAATGTCTTCATGCATCGGAGCAGAAATACCTGGGAATGTTTTATTCCCTCTGTCTCAGCCTTAAAGCCTGAGCAACTGGTACTCCCTGGAATGCTTTTTCCTTCAAATTAAGATTAGAATTATTACTCTTATTTGGTGAGAAGAAAGCACCCATGTGTCTTTACCAGAGGCATGTCTTGCTCCGGCCTCTTTTTCCCCCTGACATCTTGGCTGGGTCATAAATCACACAGGGGTACAGAAGTAAACCCCTGTGCCAAATGTCAGAAAGCCTGAGGTTCGCCATTGGTTCCGCACTGACTGGTGCCGTGATCTGGAGCAAATCGCCTCCTCAATCATTACCCAAACTGGGTAAGAGGTACCTCAAACGTTTTGGGGAGACAGGAATGAGGTAAGTTGTGTGAAAATCTTTTACAATCAAAAGGTAAACCCAAAACCAAACCCATGGCCATGGAGTTGACGCCAATTCACAGCAACCAAAGTGCGACAACAGTCAAGCTGTTCCACCTAAAGTCCTTGGCAAATCACCTACTCTCTGCTGCTAACCCCAGCGTGGACAGTTCAAGTCCACCCAGCAATTTCCCAGGAGAGCAGTCGGGCAATCTGCTTTAATTGGCATCACAGCCAAGAAATCCTCAGGGCGCCATTCTACTCTGTAAGTGTGAGATTGCCATCAGTCTGATAGGCTCGACAACCATCAGGTGTGTCGGTGGGTTTTCATCTTTAGACAGAAGCAGATCGACAAACCTTTCTCTTGTGGCACCGCTGGAGGAGCTAGAGAGGCCAGTCTTTATGTGTATAGCCAAACTCAAACCCCTTGGGCAAATTCTACTTAAAGATACAAAGCCAAACCCACAGGAGAAAGAAGCCAAGACTTCCTAATTCCCGTAAAGAGTTGCCGTTACAGCTACACTCACGGGGGCAGCTCTGTGCAGTCCCTGGGCCTTTTTTATTTTTATTTTTTGTTTATTTATTATCGTTTTATTAGGGGCTCATACAACTCTTATCACAATCCATACATACACCAGTTGTGGCAAGCACATTTGTACATTCATTGCCCTCATCATTCTCAAAACATTTGCTCTCCACCTAAGCCCCTGGCATCAGCTCCTCATTTTTTCCCCTCCCTCCCCGGTCCCCCCTGTCTCATGAACCCTTGATAATTTATAAATTATTATTTTGTCATATCTTGCCCTATCTGATGTCTCCCTTCACCCACCTTTCTGTTGTCCGTCCCCTGGGGAGGAGGTTATATGTAGATCCTTATCATCGATCCCCCCTTTCCAACCCACCCTCCCCACTGGGTCATTATGAGTCAGCATCAGCTCCATGGTAGTGAGTGTGGTCTTATCTTCAACCAAACCCACTGCCATAGAACCCATTCTAACTCACAACAATCCCATGGTGACAAGTAGGATGGGCTAGACAGTTCTGACCTCCACGGGATCTCCAGGGGTGTGAATCTTCAAGGAAGTTGACTGCCACAGCCTTCTCCCCCAGAACAGCCGGTGGGTTCACACCACTGACAATTCAGTTAGCCACGGTGCAATTAACTGCTGTGCTACCATTTACAGAGAAGGTGATACTCTTTTGGAGCAGAAAGAAATTCAGAAATCAATTCTATTAATCCCCTACTTTTCCATGCACATCATTTTACAGGCAAGCATATGGCACAGAGAAGCTAAGTGCTTTCTCTAAGGGCACACAGCTATTAGGGAGTGTCAAGACCAGAATCCGAATGTGTTCTTTTTAATTAACCTTTCGATCACTCCAGGAGACACATTACAGGGAGAAAAAAATGTTCATCTGGGGAACTAGCCTGTTTCTCAGAAAAAAGAAAAAAAACCATTTGTCAAATTATAATATGAAAACTACCAAGGCCGTTCAAAGAAAGAGCATATACAGAATGTACTCCTTCCATGAGCACATACTAAATTGCACATGTGCAGATGGTAAGCCAGTCTGCACACTTATTATTCATTTAAGACATAAAAGGAAAGCTTTAAAAGCTGACCGCTTTTCTGGCAAAGAGTAGGATTTACCACCAACTATATAATTGGATACAAGCATGAGAGGTCCTTGGAATCAAAGATGAGCCAGTAGGATCCAGTTTAACTAGAGCCCACTCTGACCACAGCTCCAGAAGGCCCAAAGCAATTTGTGGTGTTGTGGCCACATGCCACCACTTCAAGTCAATTTCCCACAAGTTGACATTTCAGTTTCCTGACCGCTCTCCAAAACAAGGTTAGATGGTATGCATTAAACTGCCCTTGCTTCATCCTAGCCAGGATTTTGGAAAGAGAGAAAAAGAAGCTCATAAAAATTAGTGAGGGTTTAGAGCTGGTAATTTTGTGCATTGTTAAAATCCTGGTGAAGAGGAGTGTCAAACAACCAAGTCCCATCTTGGCCCCAGTGTCTTTTGGACTGTCTGCCTCAGTGTTGGTGAGATGAGGCATCTGGCTAGCTTAAGAACAGATTCTAGGCTCAACTGATCAAACTTATAAAAGTTATCAAACGCACGTAAGCACGCATCCCAGAGAGAGAGAGAAGTTTAACTCTAGCTTGTTGAACTAAATGCAGATAAGACAGACCAACTTGCAGAGTAAGAGGGAAAAGCCAGGCTTCTACTTACTAAGCAATGGACAATATCACCCACTATATTTTCATTCCTCTGGGTACTCATTTGTAAGTAACCATAATAATAGGGGGAAATGTATATCCATTAAAGTATCACAGTGTGCCAGGCATGCTTCTAAGAGTTGTGCATATGTTCAATTATTTCATCTTCATACAATTCTTGAAAATGGAACTATTACTACCTCCCCATCAAAAAGCGAGAGGACAGAGGCGCTGGGAAGTGAGGTGATTTGCCCAAGGCGAGAGAGCTAAGAAGCGGTACACTGAGAACTTGGATCCAGGTATCTGGTGTGAGCCTAGTATCAGGGAGGCACGGTCTCAGTAGATCTCTCTAAATGTTTATTCCTTGTTTCTTTTTTTAAATCCAGCATCAACCCAATTCTAATTAACCAGGTTGCACGAGATTATGTTGGGAGTCCACAAAATTCAAAGAAAAACAACCTTAACAAACCCAATTGAATCAAGAACAAAATAAAATGTACGTATTGTCATTTGAAAAGATAAACGTTAACAGGAGCCCAGGTGGCACTGTGGTTCAAGCGCCCGACTGCTAACCAAATAAATTGAGGGTTCGAACCCACCAGTCCCTCTGCAGGAGAAAGATGTGGCAGTTGGCTTTATAAAACTCGCAGCCGCCTTTGAAACCTTCTGGGGCTGATCAACTCCATCGGAACAGGGTCACTATGAGCTGGAATCGATTGACAGCAGTAGAGCTTGTTTTGTGTTTTTAAAAGTTAAACAGATTAAACAGCTTAGTTGCCTCATTTGTAACAGATGTAGCAGATCACGAGGAGTCACAGCAAGACTTCTATCTCACTGCTGTAATTGTAAAAAAAAAAAAAAAAAAGGGAGGGTGGGGACAAGATTCTCTGAAACAAAGGCCTTTTGACACATCAGCCTCACTGCAGGATAAACTGTCATCTTACCTCACGTATAAAGAGATGGGTACGACTGTGTTGAGAATGATTATATAGGACCAGAATGTTAAGAATCCTGAGAACACAGCGTTGTTCTTTTGTTCATTCCGAAAGAGGAAAGTTCTGAACTGGTCCCCAACTTGGTGCTCCCAGATTGAATTTCCTATTGCAAGAATAATTCCCAAGCATACCAGAAACCCAAAAATCTGAAATGAGAAGAGAGATCTGGTTAAGGTTGACTTGACCCCCAAACTAGTCATATCCTCATGATCTGATGACACTCCGAGCTCTGAGAAATCATCCGATGAACAAGAAAGCCCAGGAAGAGCTCTTCCAACTTACCATGTGTCATATTAGTAAGACTGAACATTTTATGTCAGGGAAATGCTTCACATACATCCTGTACGTACATTGTTCTCATTTGATTCTCCCATCGAAAAAATTCGGAGCATCTACACTTCGCAGATGAAACAGGAAACAAATGAGATGGAAGCCCAGGAAAACGAAGGAGCCTTGATAATACAAGCAAGGAGTGCTGGTGCTGCTGCTAACCACAAGGTCATGGGTTCAAACTTCCCATCAAGAGAAGCAGGAGACTGGCTGCTCCCTTAAAGGGTCAGTCTCAGAACCCTCCACAAGAGTAGCTGTGAGGACCAAATGTCTTCATGGCAGTAGGTTCTCTGTTGTTGGTGGTTGGGGTTTACTTTGGTCTTGGTGGATGAGGAGATGCAAGCATTTTGTGATTGGCTGCTAACCTAAACCTACAGAGTATCTCTGCAAGAAGGAAGACCTGGCCAACTCCGGAGCACATGGGTCACCAGCATGGGCTGAGAGCCACCCCAACCGCAGCTGCCAACACAAGAACAAAACGACACAGCTTGCCGAGGGCCACAAACCAAAGCATCTCGCCTCTGTGATTGGTGATAAATGCATATATTTTAAACATTCTGCAAAATAAAAGAAAACGAGTTTCATTCCCACGTAGGCACTCAGGTTAAAAAAAAGAAAAGTAGCTGAAGTGCCTTCGAAAGTATGGGTGATGCATTATATAATCACTCGAGTCGTAAGTGCCAAAGGAAGAAAACGGAAATGACTCAAGAACTCAGACAGGCAAGTTCCAGCTCTCGAGCGGGAGGGACAAGCCTTGCTTGTGGGGAACAAGAGGGTTCATGAAAACACGCAGTGGTACGCACGGGACTTTTGAATTTTTTTTTTTCAAATACAGGAAAAAGTGGGAAGGGACCTGAAGCTTGTTAGTAAACTCTGACAGTTATTTCTAAGTTCAAGGTCTCAGATGAACATGGTAAGGCCTGAGTTGGAGAAGGTGTGATGGGAACTCGTGGTTCAAAGTCTAATTTTGGGAACATGGAGAATCTCCATAAGCATGAAAATGCCCATAAGCATCAATCTACTTCTAACAAGAAATGTTTCCAAGGTTGAGGAATCTTCCTAAGCCAACAAGTAAATGCATTATACCTGTCCCTTACGTGAAAAAAACCCCAAAATACAAACTTCTCATAGAGAATGGAATTTCTAAAATGACTCCTAGCAAAATATAAGAAATGCATTAGGATAAGAATGGGTAATGGAATTATTTATATGTGTCATGGTAACTTACCCACAGCACAAGAGTATTCATCAGTCTATCAATGCTTGTCCTTTTAAATTTAGTCTTCCCACTGTTCTGCATTAGTTTAGTGTCAGGACCTGCACACAAAAGGTAAATAACAAAGTTGAAACAACTAAAACATGTATCATTATTATATATCATATAATCTATTATGTTATGTATATTATATATTAGACTGGCTGTTCTATTCTATTGTATATTACGTTATGCAGAATATGTAATATATTATTCATAATACATCTCTATAATATATCCTATTCATAGTACATTAAATATTATATATAATATGCAAGTATCCTTGTATCTATAGCTTACATGGAAGGGGCCACTAACTTAAGCATTCGACTGCTAACTGAAAGGTTTGCAGTTTGAACACACATGGAAGCTCTGTGGGAAAAACACCGGCCCATCTGCTCCGTAAGATAACAGCCAAGAAAACCCAATGACCTTACTTCTAACCTCAATCCAAGAACAATTCGTTTTTATGACATGACCCTACTCGACGCTTGCCCTCATATAGAGATGCTCACTCTACTGAAGATGTAGGTACAATAGCAAAGTGGGGTGAAGAAAGCCGAAGGTGCCGGGCTATCAGAAAGAATAGTGTCTGGCATCTCAAAGGCTTGTCTTAAAACAAACACCCATCTGAGATGTCAACTTCAATTCAAGAAACACACCAGTCTATGTGATCCAAGGACTATAAATAATGAAATCTAAATCTGGAGGAGGGAATGGTATTAGAGCTGAAATTGCGAACACCCTGTTTGCAGAATCCATTTGTAGGGCCCCATATCCATTGCCAAGGTCTTCCATTGACTAAGCTCCAAATGAATTCCCTCAGACCACAGTTGAGGGATGTGAATAGCCTTGCTATCAGACAAAGAACATTGCAAAGTGGATTATGGAAGATATAGTTAAGTTAAAATGTAATGCTTTATCATTTGATCTCCCTTTTGACCCATTTTAAAGTCGTTTCAGATTTTAATATTTTCTGCTTGCTTTCTGATTAAGGTTTTTCTATGTTTTGTGCAGTGTTGCTGAGCTTTATTTTGTTTTGCTTGTCTGCTTCTTCTTTGCATTTTGCATAATTTTCTGTATATGGAATCCCGGATAGGTAAATCTACAGAGACAGTAACTGGGCTAATAATTAGCTAGGGGTATAACAGGAGAGGTTAGGGGGAATCGGGGAACCAACAACAATGGGTAAGAAAAGAATGTGTTCTGAAATTGATTGTGGTGATGACTGCACAACTCTTCTTACTATGATTGAACAATGAAATCATATAATATTTAAAGTGTATGCAAATAAAACTATTTTTAAAACAGAAATCGCTATAAGGCCATTCTAATCTGACACTATAAGCAGAATTGATTCAATGGCAATAAGAACATATAAAATAAATGTTATAAAGGCAATACTTGTCTTAAATCTTGTATTAGGTTATTTCAGTTACATATAATAGAGTAGTTCACGAAAGAGTTCATGATTACTTGTTTAAGGAACTTTAAAAACATTATTAACTGAGTTACAAGTACTTCACAGGGAGGAGAAGAGCCAAACAGGGTGCAATGTAGAAATGATGAAACATACAACTTTCCTCTAGTCTTTAATACTTCCTACCCCCACCCCCCCACTATCATGATCCCAATTCTACCTTACAATCCGGCTAGACCAGAGCATGTACACTGGTACAGATAGGAACCAGAAACACAGGGAATTCAGGATGGATGAACCTCTCAGGACCAGTGGTGAGAGTGGCAATACTGGAAGGGTGGAGGGAAGGTAGGGGTAGAAAGGGGAACCATCGGAAGGATCTACATATAAGACCCTCCCTGGGGGACAGACAACAGAAAAGTGGGTGAAGGGCGACATTGGACAGTGTAAGATATGACGAAATAATAATAATTTATAAATTATCAAGTGTTCATGGGGGAGCGAGGGGGGAAAATGAGGAGCTGATACCAAGGACTCAAGTAAAATGAAAATGTTTTGAGAATGATGATGGCAACAAATGTACAAACGTGCTTGACACAATGGATGGATGGATGCATTGTGATAAGAGTTGTTCAAGCCCCCAATAAAATGATTTTAAAAAAGTAATGAGAAGAAAAAGATGATGACAACATATGTTTAAAAAAAAGAATTATTTATTAATAAATGCTGACTAGCTAAAAAAAACAAAAATAAGTTAAGTATTAGGTAAATTTAATAAAGGAGAATATTAGACTGGATTGGAAAGGGCATTCCTGTGGACAGAGACAGTGTTTCATAGAAACAATTAAATTATAATTATAGCTGGCTTCCTAATATTCTCTCTCCACATTTCCTTCCCATGACTGTAAATCCAGATAGCCATTTAAAATAGAAGGAATAGGGAAATTAGAGAAAGAAAGAAAAAGAAAAGAGAGAAAGAAGCAAGGCACACATGAAATTAAATGCCATTCGGGAAGTTGGGGCAGAGCAGGCACATTCTTCAAAGAGCTTTCTTGAAAGAAAAATTGAAATAAAGTCTGGGGTCTCAAACAATTCACTGGTATTGGAAATTGTACCTCAGTGTCCTATACCCAGCCGCTTGCTCTGCAAAGGCGACCACGTACACATTCCCAGAATTATTTATTAATACCATATAAACATTGAGAGTTGGAAATATTTCTTTTATGGTAAAGATCACAAAGTGCAAATAAAATGTCTGATTGCTAAAACGTGAAATATTGACAGGCCAATTTTGTGGTAGAATTTAATATTTTTTATATTTTTAGAATTTAATATTTCTGAGGCACAGAAACACACAAAGACTACGAAACAATATGCTCCATAAGTTTGTAAGGATTCATTTTAACATATCCACAGAAAAGGAGTCCTGGTAGTGTAGTGGGTTAAGCACTGAGCTAGATCAGCAGATTAAAACCACGAGTCATGAATGTGGGAGGGGGGAGGGAGCACTAGAACTGATTGTGATGATGTATATGCAACTCATTTTAAAAGTGATTTAATCATGGAAGTAGATGATATGTGAATGCTATATCAAGAAAACTCCTTTTAAAAAAAGAATGAAGGAAATCAAACTTGACCAACGGTTACCATGGGTGGAGAAAGAGGTGTTGCTTCAGGGACGTTGAGTTTATATTAACGGTGGAGGAATAATTTAGAAAAAGATCTCAATGATGGTTTGACAACAGAAAGAAGGTGAACGACAGCACTGAGTTGTATCTGCAGAAGTTGTGGAACTGAAGAAAGGTTTGCTGGGTACATTTTTGCCACAATTAGAAAAACAATAATTACATGAATAACAATGAGGGCAAGGAAGAAGAAAATATTCTAGCATTGAATGTAGTGATGATTGTACAACTCTTCCTGATCTGACTGAATTCTTGAATTGTATGACATGGAAGAAGGGCTAATAAAACTGTTAAAAACATTCAAAAACAAAAACACCACCAGGGGACCCACAGGAGAGAGGAGGCTTTCTACTCCTATCAAGAGTTATCCTCTCGGAAACCCACAGGGGACTCATATCGTGACCTACAGGGTTGCTATGAATAGGAATTGGCATGATGGCCGTGAGGTTTTTGTTCTTGTTGTTGTTTTTTAATCCACAGATATTGATATATCCTTTTTCCCCTCACCGTCAAGGTTTGTGAAGGCATTTTCTTTACCCATCTCCCAGCAATACCCAAACCTAGTTTCTGGGCCAACAGAAATATATCTAGAATTATCACCAATATCCTACCTGCCTTCCTGACCAGCTTTTGACACTGCTAACTAGTCCATCCTATTTAAACACACGCTTCCCTTAGTTCCATGGTTGCCTCCTACTGTCTGATAGATTTTTCTCTACCGTCCGTGATGCTCACCATCGCTACATGGTCCGTAAATACTCGAATTCCTTACGCCTTAGACATGCTGTTTTTAGGTGACATTGAGTCTGTCTCAGCTCCTAATGACCCTGTGTACAACAGAAGGATGCACTACCAGGTACTGCATCATGTTCACAATTATTCTTATTTTTGACCCATAGTTTCAGCCACTGTGTCAATCCGTCTTGTCCAGGGACTTCCTCTTTTCCACTGCCCCTCCACTTCACCAAGCATGATGTTCCTTTTCCAGGGATGGATCTCTCCTGACTACGTGGCCAATGTTCATGATGTGAAGTCTTGCCATCCTTGCCTCTAGGAAGCATTCTGACCGCACTTCTTCTGAAACAGTTTTGTTCGTTCTGTTGGTAATGTGGGGTGCTTTCAGTACTCTTGAGCGCCATAATTCAAATGCATCGATTCTTCTTCAGTCTTCTTTACTCAATGTCCGACTTTCACATGCCGATGAGACCACTGAAAATACCACGGCCTGCGCCAGGCGCATCTTAGTCCTCAAAGTTACAGCCTTGCTCTTGAGCACTTTAAAGAGATCTTCTGCAGCAAATTTACCCAATGCAATGCATCATTTGATTGCGTGACTGACACTTCCATGAGCGTTGATTGTGAATCCTAGCAAGACAAACGTCTTGACAACTTCAATCTTTTCTCTATTCATTATGATTTTACCTCTTGGTTCAGTTGTGAGGGTTTTGGTTTTCTTTGCGTTGAGCCATAATCCACACTGAAGGCTGTAATCCTTGACCTTCATCAAGTCTCGGGCTTCTGTCATCTCCTCTTCTACTCAATCTACCTTCCCCAGGCAAGCTCATCTAGGACTAGAGCTTCAATGATTTTTGCAGGCCAAATATGTATATCTAATTCAGACTGCACGCCTCAACTCAAAACCAGTATATTTAAAGTCATATGTTTAATTGCATGGATGATATCTTCACCTGGATCTGTCTAAGGGCCCTCAAGTGGCCCTTGTCCATGTCCAGCTCATGATAATCCTCTAGGGTTCATTATCCCCCAAAATGACACCACTATCTATACAACTATAAAGATTCTGAAAAATCTGACAGCACTCATAATCACTTTCAAATCCTGTCAGTTCAACTTTCTAAATAGCTTCTGAATTTCCTCTCTCCATCTCCATGACTCCCCCAATCCCAATCCAAAGTCCCATCATCTATGAAGTGCAGTAAAGGTCTAATCACCTGGCCTTCCTGAATCCACTCCAAACCCCACCGTAAGCAATATGTGTCCTCCTCTACCACCACCGTCATGAGGATCTGCTGTCCATTTATAAATATGATCAACATTCTAGGCAAAACCAACCCTTTTGATTTAGCATATACACGTGTCCCTGTTTATAAACTTGCGATGGCTTCCGGGCAACAATGTAGATCTTGCCTGGTCCAGTCTCTGCCCATCTCTTCGGTCATGTGACCATGTCTAGCCCCCATGCTTTCCATGCCCCATACTAGCCTTCTGAAGTTTTTGCTTGTTTGGGTTGGTTTTTCAGCCTCACCTTCTTCATTCCTTCCACAGGGCCTTTGCCCATGATATGCCCGATGGCTGACTTCCCTACACTCTTCACTTGGCTGACGCTTGCTGATCCTGCCATTCTTGACTCAGGTTTCATCAGGAAATTATCCTTTAAATTCTAAGTCTAAATCTGCCTCTTTCTTCTAGACTCTGGTGAGTCCACGTTCTTCTTCTTCAGTGAATTCTTCACTACCTCAGCTTGTGATTATACATCCATGGCTACAGTTATCTAAGTGTAATGTCTCTCTTCCCCACCGGATTGAAATCGATATGATTAAAAGGAGTACATTTTGCTTATATTCTTAATCACCAATAAGTAACGAACATAAATGTTTTACATAGTAACACCGAACTCACTGCCCTCGAGTCACGTTGACATTCAGCAACCCTATAGGACAAGGTATAACTGCTCCTTTCCAAGACTGTAAGTCTTTGCAGGAGTAGAAAGGCTCTTCTTTCTCCTGGTTTCAAACTGTTGACCTTGTGGTTAACAGTCCCACGTGTAAGCCACAACGCCACTAGGTCTGTAGGCACTCAGTTACTACTTTTTTAGCCAAGTCATTAATTTCTTGAGCACTTATTATATTTTAGGGCCTAACAGTTAGGCAATATGTGTGTGTGTTTTATATTATAATCACAATAGCTGACCTAGCCTGGCATGGTACTGATTAAGTTACCGTAAACCAGATCCTACAAATACAAACAAAATGTTGGGTTACAGCCCACTCGTCATCGGGTGAGGGGCCTCCATGGCTGTGACAGGGAGCAGGTCAGAAGACCACTTCCCAGGAGGTACCTTCAGGAAGTCTCGCTGGCGGAAGTGGGAAAGTAAAGAGAGGTTTGTGTATAAGTCTATCTCCTTTGTTCTTTTTGCAGGAAACGTACAGAGAAGGAAACAAACAGTCACAGGTATATCTCTCTGACTAAAAAATAAAAGTATCTGATGAGAGACTCGTGAATTTAGATCTACCCGCCACCCCTCTACCCTCACTCCTGGAGAAAAACTCATACTCCACCTCATTTCTAGGGATTTCCAAAGTCCTCACAATGGCAAAGTCCCAAGCAGCAAGAGCCTTGCAAACACCCACAGCTGAGAGCATTTAGGAGGGATTGGGAGGCCTTCCCTAGGTTTGGAACACTTCTGGGTCTTTAATGAACATTTTGTTGTTGTTAGGGAAAGTCAGTTAAGAAAAACATTCCAATTTTGATTGCACATAGAGTCAGCCGGCCCCAAACACATCTTAATTTGGTGTCACAATAAACAGGATTTTTAAAATCAAGGACTGGCAATTGAAGCCATGGGGACAATTTAAGCCGCTTTAGGAAATGGTGCTACTGTACGCTTCCTCAGCCGGAGAGTGCCACCTGGGGCTCACAGAGATAAGTTAGAGATAAGAAAGGAGGCAGGCATCAAGGCTAACAAATGCCTCTCTTCCCTTCTCCCCACCCAGCCAGGCACACTTTTTCCAGGATGCCCGGTCCTGCGGACAGCAGTAGAAGAAGCTGCGGGGGCTCCCCGAAGACGTTCCTGAAAGAGCGGCTTGTCATTTTGCAGACTCCAAAATCAAGAGCAGAGAGTTGGGGGGGTCGGGGGTCTCCTTTTATATTCTTTTTCCATTTTTCTTCATGGTGGTTTAATTTTTTTTAAATTATTTTATTGGGGGCTCTTACAATTCTTATCACAGTCCATACATCCATCCATTGTGTCAAGCATATATGTACATTTGTTGCCCTCATCGTTCTCAAAACATTTGCCTTCTACTTTAGCCCTTAGTATCAGTTGCTTATTTTCCCCTCCCTCCCCCCCACCCCGCCCCATGAACCCTTCATAATTCATAAATTATTATAGTTTTGTCATAAGAAACACTGTCCAACGTCTCCCTCCGCCCTCTTCTCTGCTGTCCATCCCCCAGGGAGGAGGCTATACTTAGATTCTTGTAATTGGTTCCCCCCTTCTACCCCACATTCCCTTCACCCTCCAGGCCTCGCCCCTCTCACCACTGGTCCTGAAGGAGTCATCTATCCTGGATTCCCTGTGTTTCCAGTTGCTGTCTGTACAATGTACATCCTTCAGTCCAGCCAGATTTGTAAGGTAGAATTGGGATCATGATAGGGGGGTGGGGGGAGGGAGCATTAAAGAACTAGAGGAAAGTTATATGTTTCATCGTTGCTACCCTGCACCCTGATTGGCTCGTCTCCTCCCCACAACCCCTCAGTAAGGGGGTGTCCAGTTGCCTAGAAGGAGCCTCCAAAAAGTTCCTGGGAAAGAATGGAATGAAAAGATCTTGGGATTTTTTTTGCCAATAAACCTTTTGAAGCACACTCAGGGATCATTAGGATGGAGCTAGCAGAAGAGAAATTAAGCTGTAGGTATCTACTGCCCACTGCTTCGTGAAGGAGTGATCATGCATAGCCATAAACTGCTCGTGGTGTCAGTGTTTCACGATGTCTTCCCCTGGTCGCCACCCTCGGAAGTCAAGTGCCTCTGGAATCAATGCAGTGTGTTCATCCCAGTGCAGAAAGGTGGAGGCTGTGTTGATGGGTACCTTGGGAAGAGTCCACATACAACCCACCCCCGGGCAGTTATAGTCATACCTGCAAAAATAACCATTCCAAAACACCAACTGGTGTTTCTCAGGACACAGCCTCTTAGGATTATCTTCTCGTTGTTGAGGGAATACTTGCTGTCTTTCCAAGAGAGGGTGCCTGTGAATTTATCTAATTTGTTGTTCGGTGCCTCACAAACAACAGTCCCTGTAAAGCAAGAAACACATCGTTTTAAAACTCAACCGAAACTCTCTTCAGAGCTCTGCAGCACTGGACTACCACGCAGTGACGAGTAGCGAGCATACGCTTGTCTCTCCTTGGCCCAGACGGCCCAGTGCTAACATAGACATAATAGTGCCAGGAAGAGAAAATACCGGGAGGGTCGTGGGACCAGACATGGATGGAAATCTATCAGTCGTGGGACAGCACGGCTTTCTTCGCCATTCAAATAAGAATGAAGACCTCACAAAGAATAAAGGCATTTTGGTTTTTTGTTGTTGTTGTTGTTTTCCTTTTTGAAAAAGTCACTTGTCTCGACTTCTAGTATAACAAATGATTTTTGAAAAGATAAAGCAGAGACCATCCTAAAAGTTTCATCTTATCTCCTGTCTTCTAACTGGATGTGGACTGACAAAGGGCATACTTTCAATTTCACAACAGAGATGGATCTGGACTTTCTAGGTACATACTCCTAATATGGGGGTGAGGAGGGGTCCCTCCTAGAGTTCACCCGGGACTAGAGAAACGTAGGCCCTGCTTGCCACATGTGCCTGAAAATGCGTGTGATTCCTTTCAGCTGTTCCATGCTTCTTATCTTGATTCGATTCAGCGTTCTGGGGACTCTCAAAGGCACCATGTAACTTGCCCCAAACTAGACAGAAGATGTTTCTAGTTCTTTTTTAAATTCCAAGCCCATACCAAACCAAGGGCATGCCCATTCCAAATCAATGAATCGATTCGTTCCATGAGTTCAATGAGAAAATACACATTCAGGGTGGAGGTTGTCTAGATAGAAAGGGAAACCAGAAATAATCATTTACGGACCCAGCCACAAAAGAGAACGATTAGATTAAAATGTATTTGGGTTGTAAACGTTTGGGGTCAGATTTTTAAAGGAAAAGAGAAGTATTGAGCACCAAGGCAAGAAGGACGGGAGAGAAAGAAAGGAAGAGCAAAGCTGGAGAGGGAGGGAATGAGGGGGAATGGGTTTAAACAGTAGGCTGTGCACAGATCTGGTCAAGACTCAAGCCAGAGGTGAGATGTGTGTCTATAACTTTCTCTCTCAAATGCAAGGACAATCCGGTTCATTTATCAGAAGCCAAAGGAACAGGTAGGTACATGAAACATGGCATTTGGAAAATAAAAAAGGGATGGATGTCTTCAACAGTGATGGAAAGGAAATGGTGACCAGAGAATGAACCTCTTACTACTCTGATTTCGTCTACTCACCAAGCTGAGCTCTCGATTTAAAGTGATACCTTACACTGGTTTCTAGGGAGGGAAGGGACCAATTTAGGTTCCCTTTAAATCTCTTCCACATCAGTTGCCATTGAGGATTTTCACAAGGCCTGATGGTGCCTGACAAAGAAGCTACAGTACAGCCTCAGGTGAGAAGCATCCAAGTTACGAACAATTGGTGCTGGCCTTTCGTGGGATGTAAAGATGCTCTCTCTTTGAAACTATGGAAACAGCCCCAACTTGCAATA